CTTTTTTTGGTGAATCTCTGCTGCTTTTGATACTGTTTGGGCTGGTTGATCTTGCTTCACCCATGATCTCTTGCGAGTAACATTGTTATAAACTATCCACTTTTCGTCGCCAGTAACTAGGTTCTTCCTCGGAAATGGATCATTCTCATTGCGTTTCAGTAGCGGCGAATCACAGATGCTAATCCGTTGCGTCAAATGAATTTCCTTTAACTGGTGAGGGATCCATAAATCAAGTTTCTTGACATAACCAAGGGTTTTTAATTTTTGTTTCAATCCATGTATGCGACACATTGAGCCTCTCTGCAATATCTCGTGTTGTGCTGTGACGATTTGAATCGATAATGGCCTTGATATGGGTTTCATCCACTTCGACTGGGCGGCCAGATCGTTGTGAATTTTTCAGTGAAAAATCACCGGAACGAAATCTTTCAAACCAATTTCGACACTGCCTTTCTTCCTCACGGCTTCATCTCCATATAGGGCACATAACTTCTTTTGTGCTTGCGATGCGTTCTTGCCTTTTCGGAAGTAATACAATAAAATGTGTCGGAAGTGCACGTCCTGTTCTTTCATTTTTAAATTGGGATAAAAACAAGACTAAAGAACTAAACAAAAAAATTTTTACTAATTAACCTAGAAGCCCATAGAGTAAGAAAAAAATATAGATTAGATGCTCTGGCCACGTTAACAAAACAAAAGAAAGTATAGAGTGAATCCGTCAACAAAAACGACAATGACTTAGTTGCCAACCTAGTAGTTTGAATTCAGAAGTCAACTGCTGTTTGATTGACTTGTTTGCCGTATGAATATACATTGCCCTGGGTGCGCCACGTGGAGGTAAGTCTATCGCACCGCCCGGGCAATGGAACATTTAAAATGACCTAATAATAATCGTAAAGTTACTTATAAATTGTTTGATGTTGCACTAAAATTAAATTTTTCTCTTTTAATTGCTTTTTCGCACCCCATAGAATTCTCAAATAAAGTTATTAAGCATAGTTAGCTTCCAACTGAGTTAATGATAGTTATCATTAGCCCTTTAGCTGACTTCGGGCTTCACAGGGGGAAGGAACATCAAAGTAACAGAATGTCGAGGGATGGGGAACAGAAGAGTGGTTTACAGTTGTAAAAGAGACAGACACAAAGGCGGAGAAATGGTAGGATGATTACTATGGAAGTGGTAAGTGGAGGTAAGTCTATCGCACACCCCTCATCCCTAATGTAGCATCACCCGAATAAAACGTGCTTCACGTCAGACGTCTGTTTCCCCTATAGCTCTGCGGTAGATTAGCTAATTCTTGGATCCATTCAAAATTAGGTGAACTAGTCATAGAGATTACTGGGTACATATCAAGGTTTATAACGTGTAGCAATTCGCTACACATTATTACAATCAATTTTCAATGTGAATAATAAATAAAAGGGGAAATTCGCAATTTAAAATGCGTCTAGATTAATGATAAGATAACAAAGAATCCAAGAATACTTGTTGTGACTGTATTTCAGAACGCAATTACTACGTTAAAATATAGCCTACCTCAGCTCTTCAATGAGGGAATGTGTAAGTATATTAGTAACTTTCAAGGTCATTCTGTTTCCTTTGACCATATTAAGTCAAATAACAGGTCAAAAAGCACCATACCATCGTGAACAAGAGTTTTTACCAATCTGTTAGACTAATAAAAATGTTTTAAAGCTCGCTAAATATCTTTAATTCTTCCACATACAATAGCATGAATTTTGGTTATTTCTATATAACCATTTCGAGCACAATAAGTCTCAAAATTTTGAAGCAAGAAAATACAATTATAAATATGCTCTTAAAACAAAAATTAAATTCCATTTTAGGACTTTTGATTTATTATTGAGGTCATTTTGGCGGCATTGTAAAAAATCCATTTTACTAAACTGCTGTCTTTCCCAAAGAAATTGGCCCCCCCGGATGCATTAACCAAATCGGAGTTCCTGTTTGGCTTTTCTATTTTTATTAATTATAATGGTCTATTGATAGCCGATAAGGGCTATTTTTCTTTTACAATGATTTGAAGTTAATTATTTCTAATATTCAACGAAGTGTGAATGATTGAGTAACTATGTTAACTAGTTATTTGGCTAGATTATCTCCGAATTCTCATTTATATCAAGCTCAATGCATTTCGGGTATTCCACTCTTAAAGCTTTAGTTAAAAGGGTAATATGTGCATATATTCCCGAAGCCGTCAGCTCATCATCAAAGACCAGCTAACTGGTAAGCTTGCTCGCCTCATGATTTCACACTTTTATTTCCGCCCATCTACAGGCGGTGCGCGATAGAATAACCTCCACGTGGTGCACCCTGGGCAACGTATACTCATACGGCAAAAAGTCTATAAACCGGCAGTTGACCTCTGACTGCTAATTACCATCATCCCACCGTATGTCATATTCCACCACTTCCACTCAACCTACCTCACCTATTTTCTATCTTTGTGTGTCTGTCTGTCTCTTTTAAATCTGTGAATCATTATTCTAACCCCCCTCTCGATATTTTGTCACTTTGATGTTCCAATTTTAGTAATCTTAAGGAATAAGAATCCGTCATCAAACTTTTATTAACATTCCGAATATATTAACAACGAAATGCATCGTTTGCAATTAAACTCCATTTTCTCGAGAGAAATCTGTCTTCAATAAACAGAACAAATTTAACACGTGGATTCAGCCCGAATTTGATTCTTTTGAATTGTATAAACAGACTGGGTCGGAAACAACATGTAACCAGCTTCTTAGCATAGACACTGGTGAAACCATTATTTATGCGCCTAAGTCAAAATACCCCTTATTAACACATTTTTAAAATTAAGTTTATCACCACTCCGTATCAGATAGGGACTAATTCAGGATGAAATATACAAAGTTATTTTGGTAACAATAAGAGACCAACCAATTAGACCTTCTAAACAACCCGTTTTGATATAAATGCCCAAATACACCTAAGAGATTGCAGTACCTACGACCACTGGCTTATAAATTTAGATAGGAATCGTCCACCACCTGTTTCATACTTCAGTCCTTATTGTCAATGAGCAAGGCTCGAGAAGTCGGTCAAAGGGCATATCGGGTGTCTTTTTACGTAGTCCCCACATATCGCCACCCACCCGCTCCATCCGTAGAGATTCTCCCGTCTTTCCCCTCTCACTCATTTCAAATTACGCATTAAACCTTGGTCCATCCCACACTTGGCCCACTCAATCAGTTTCATCCTGTAAAATGTTATTATGGACGGTATTAGAGTTCTTTTTATCTGTCAATGATTACAAGTTTGCAAGTAGGAATATTTTCATTTTTATCTGTTAGCCCTCCCCCCCCCCTCTCCCCCCAAAGAAGATTCATGCTTCAACGAGGGGACATTTAACTTAATTTAGTGAAGATCGTGAAATAGATTTATTGGGTTGGCAACTAAGTCATTGCCGTTTTTGTTGATTCACTCTATACTTGATTCACTCTAAACTTTCTTTTGTTTTGTTAACGTGGCCAGAGCATCTAATCTATATTTTTTCCTACTGTATGGGCTTCTAGGTTAATTAGTAAAAATTGTTTTCGTTTAGTTCTTTAGTTTTGTTTTTATCCCAATTTAAAAATGAAAGAACAGGACGTGCACTTCCGACACATTTTATTGTATTACTTCCGAAAAGGCAAGAACGCATCGCAAGCACAAAAGAAGTTATGTGCCCTATATGGAGATGAAGCCGTGAGGAAGAAAGGCAGTGTCGAAATTGGTTTGAAAGATTTCGTTCCGGTGATTTTTCACTGAAAAATTCACAACGATCTGGCCGCCCAGTCGAAGTGGATGAAACCCATATCAAGGCCATTATCGATTCAAATCGTCACAGCACAACACGAGATATTGCAGAGAAGCCCAATGTGTCGCATACATGAATTGAAAAAAATTAAAAACCCTTGGTTATGTCAAGAAACTTGATTTATGGATCCCTCACCAGTTAAAGGAAATTCATTTGATTCGCTACTGAAACGCAATGAGAATGATCCATTTCCGAGGAAGAACCTAGTTACTGGCGACGAAAAGTGGATAGTTTATAACAATGTTACTCGCAAGAGATCATGGGTGAAGCAAGATCAACCAGCCCAAACAGTATGAAAAGCAGAGATTCACCAAAAGAAGATTATGCTGTCAGTCTGGTGGGATCACAAAGGAATTTTGTATTTTGAACTCATGCCGCAGAACCAAACGATAAATTCAAATGTGTATGTTGAAGGACTCGAAAAACTGAAGGATGCAATTGAAGATAAGCGGCCGGCATTATCAAATCGGCGGAAGGGTGTTGTTTTCCATCATGATAACGCAAGGCCCCACACATCTTTGGTTACTCGGCAAAAATGATTGGAATTGGGTTGGGATGTTTTGTCACACCCACCATATAGCCCTCACCTTGCGCCTTCGGATTACCATTTGTTTCGTTCCATGCAAAACTCTTTAAATGGTAAAATTTGTAACAACGCGGATGATGTCGGATCACACCTAATTCAGTTTTTTAATAGCAAAGACCAGACATTTTACGAACGGGGAATTTTCACTCTGCCAGAACGATGGAAAAAAGTCATCGACAAGAACGGCCAATATCTAATTGAATAAAGTTATATTTTTAAACAAAAATTCCGAATTTGCCCTCTTATTTGAAATCGACAATGACTTAGTTGCCAACCTAATACCATCACCCCACTGTATGTCATATTCGACTACTTCGACAATACTCACCTTACCTTTTTTCTGCCTTTGTATCTGTCTCTTAAATCTTTGAAACACTCTTCTGTTCCCCCCCCCCTCTAGACTTTGCTTCACTTTGATGTTCCTCCACATGGAGAATGCAGCCATTTATGATGATTCGGAAGGGGTGCGCGATAGACTTACCTCCACGAGGTGCACCCTGGACAACGTATCTTCGTACGGCAAAAAGTCTATCACTCGGCATTTGATTTGACATCTTTTTATTATGATTAGCTTGAAACAAGGCTATAAGAGAAATCGTCCTCGTCAGGGCGAATCACAGCGTCTACAGATCCTCCAGTGGAATGCTGGTTGGATGTCACAGGACAAAAAGATCCAAGTTCAGAAAATCCTACAAACCTATGATGTAGTCATTTTTACAATTATGGAAGCAAACATTTCGGATGACAAACTGAAGTACTACTAATTCCCAGGTTGCACCCTGTACCTGCTAACTAAATACCGCAAGCTGCAATTGGAATTCTAACTGGAGTTAAAGAAGGCCTTACCTCGCACTACGATCCAATCAAGAGTATGGGCTCGACACAAGACACAGGCGAAATTATCAGATTAAATGTTCGGAAATGTCAAAACCACTTCAAGTTATATGCAGTCTATAATCCACCCCAGATTTGTCCCAAATTTGACTTTCTGAACATCTCACACATACCTTTAGTATAAGGAGACTTCCACTAGATGGGGCTACAAGGATACAAACATAGCTTGTAAGGAAATTGAAGACATTCTTAACAGCAACCCTCTGGAACTTATTTACAGTAATGAGGATCCGGTTACATATTTGCACTACAATAGAACCAGAACAACTCCGGACTTACTCCTGTCTTCAAGCGACATCAGTGAGCATACACCCCGCAAAATAATTGACGATCCTGGTTCTGGTCACAAACCAGTCGTTGCTAGTATTACCATCGGCAGCAAAAGCATGGCATGGAAAGTGCCAACTAAGCTATCATGGAACTTCAAGAAGACTGACTGGCCTAGATTAACAAACCTTTTAGACAATGAACTTCACACAAGTCCCCTCAACTTCAACCAACATCCTGACAAACTTTGCACTGCTATCACGAATATTATGATCAGATGTGCAAAGAAAACTATTCCCCGAGGCAAGACCAAACACTATCGAGTGTCTTGGTCTAAACACCTAGAGAAACGGAAAATAAAGCGGGACGCCCTTCGCAACACTGCTGATCAGACTGGAAGAACGACGCCCTTCGCAAAACTGCTGATCAGACTGGAAGAACTCTGATCAGACTGGAAGAATGGAAGACGTACAAGCCTGGAGATGGCAGTCAGCTGTCCTAAGGCAGGCCATCTTACAAGCTAAACGCACTTCCTTCGACAAGTTCAATCTTACAAGCTAAACGAACTTCCTTCGACAAGTTCATCTCTATCAAAGTGATGACCAACGCACTTTCAAATTTCTGAGAAACCTCCAAAACAACATCGACAAGTTCATCTCAAATATCAACTATCAAAGTGATAGAAAAGTTCATCTCAAATATCAACTACCAAAGTGATGGCCAACCTAAGACCCAAGAAAGAATCAATATGCTTAAAATCAAATTGCACAAGAAAGAACCAATACGCTTAAACAACAAACTGCTTACCTCCGACACCGAAATAGCTAACTATATTGCGAGGTTCTATTCCCACAAGCTAAAGAAAAACCCTTTTGTCAGAATATCTTCTGGTGATTTAAAGATACAAGTAAGACAGTTTGGTGAAATTGAGGAAGACACAACAATATCAAATAATATAATTACTAAAACATACAGACCTTGCGAACTTAATGCTGCAATAAAACATCTAAAGTGCAAAAGGTCTCCTGGCGAAAAGGGTATTCATCTGGAGTTTCTGATTAGAATGAGGCTAAAAGCCAAGGAAACCATGCTGACGCTTTACAACAAAATCTGGGAGGCCAGTCTCGTACCTAACCATTGGAAATTTGCCATAGTAATACCAGTACTAAAAAGGGCAAAAACCCTAGCAACTTTGACAACTATAGGCCTATCTCCCTCACAAGCGTGCTGGCTAAACTTATGGAAAGAATGGTTAACAGTAGGCTGACCTAGTTCCTTGAGACCAACAATATTCTTAGGATTGAACAAGCAGGTTTAAGGCCACAAAGATCAAGTGGCAACAAGTGGCCACTTTCTCCCAACACATCAAAGGTGCTCTTGATGCAAGAAATACCCTTACGGCTGTTTTCGTCGATTTCAAATCAGCATATGACTTAGTATAGAAAGAGAAGCTAATTCATAAATTGGCAAAGATTGGTATTAAGCATAACATGCTAAACTGGATAAAAGCATTCATTGGACAAAGATCGTGTAAAGTCAGATACGGAAATACTCTATCAAAATCCAATCTTTTGCAAACAGGCCTTCCACAGGGAGCTGTCACAAGCTGCACTCTTTTCAATATCTTCATCAATGACGGCCAAATTGGTACAGACAGTCACGGGCGTTAAGTGCTTACTTTATGCAGATGATCTGGTACTATGGTATTCCGCTCCTCAGAAAAACGCTAAGGAGAGGACAGAAAGTGCTCTTAATAGTGCACTTAAACTACTTACAAACTGGTGCGACAACAATGGAATGGTAATCAACACCGCAAAAACTGCATTCCAAACATTTTCTTTGGCCCATCACAGCATAAACTCGCTTCTAAGGTACAAGGATATTACCCTAGAAAAAACCAATGAGATCACATATCTCGGAATGACGTTTGACACAAAACTAACTTGGAAAAGTCACATTGCTAAAATAGCAGAACGCGTCTCCAATAGA